GAAGAAGAAAAAAGAAAAAAGAAGAAGAAGAAGGAAAAGAAGAAGAAAAAGAAGAAGATAAAGAAAAAAATGAAGAAAAATAAGAAAGAGAAGTAAAAGAAAAAGAAGAAAAAGAAAAAGATGAAGAAAAGAAATACAAAATGAAGAAGCAGAAAAAAAGAAGGAAACGAAGAAGAAGAAGAAAAAGAAGAAGAAAAAGAAGAAAAAAAAGAAGAAAAAAAAGAAAAAAAAAGAAGAAAAATGAAGAAAAAAGAAGAAGAAGAAGAAGAAAAAGAAGAAGAAAAAGAAAAAAAAGAAGAAAAAAGACGAAGAAGAAAAAGAAGAAGAAGAAAAAGAAAAAAGAAGAAGAAGAAGTAGAATTAAGGAAATAGTGTTCTTCACGCGCATACACACGTATCTATATATCTATATAAAACAGCACATTTATTTCTTATCCCACCCCTACATTATCGCAATCACCTATCCAATTTTCAATTTCGAGCCGTTAGCCATGACACTATCGCACATCCAAAGTGACATCACCTGGTATTTTCAAATGCTCAATAACCAAGCTACTTACCCGGCACGAAGTTGCTGAACTTCGTTGATTGTCTAAGAAACGGTGTTTCAATATTATTTGCTTGTATGCAGGTTTACATAGACTTTAAAATAAATTCATAAAGAAAAATGAAAACCGAGTTGAACATAAATAAAAACTAATTTCTTCAACAATAAATTTAAACATCTTTCTATATTTCATAGATGAGTTATTTTAAATATTTCCCTATTTGCATTCTTCGGACTGCTGTCCTCATCTTTGTTCTCATATTCACGTTTTGGTCATTGGAAGCTTCGGCCTTCTTCAGCTGATATACGTTGGTACACTAATATGAGCTCTCATAAAATAAATGCATTGAGATTTTAGGTTCGTAAATCCCGAAAATTCACTCACATGGCCCAGTGGATAAAAGCTGCGTTTGAAGTAACCCAAAAGTGATTGACGCAAGTTCAATACGTGGCCACAGCAGATGTGAACAGAAAAGACTTGGAGAATAGAGTTATGAAAGGTAATTAACTTAAAGAGAATCTGAGACATACTGAAGAGACACGGCGTGTATAAATAGATTAATCTACACCCGTGGACTGAATAAAGGGTTCAGTTCGAAATTCCAACGTATATCACCTGAAGAAGGCCGGAGTGCACAGCGACTGAAACGTCGTAAATTTGACATTAAAGATAAGAACAACAGCCCCATCAGTGTAAATAGTTTAAATAATAAAGTTAAGATTTAAAAAAAAAAAATTCGATTATATTAGGTTGGTGCAAAAATAATGACGTAATAATGTCGTTTTTTGACGTAACGTCAAAAAACGACATTTTTACGTCATTATTTTAGCACCAACCTAATAGATTTTGTTCTTTTGAAATCAAATGATTTTTTTCTAAAAATTCCAGTTCACCGGCAAAAAGATAACAAATCCGTCGGTATATAATCCAGGTTAATTTTGCTAATATAAAATATTAATACTGATCCACAAAAAGAGCACAATATATATATATATATATATTTTTTATTACAGAGCAAATAATTAATACCCAATAAAATGAAAAATCACCTCATATATGGAATAAATTAATTTCGACAAACGAAAATATAAGGTAATCTCGACACTCTTACAAACCCCAGTATGGATTGAATGCGTGTCGGAAATTTAACTGTGAAAGCTAAGAAGAAAAAAAAGCCTGTCAAAAAAACTAATACAGAGTTTATCCATTTCAATGTTTCAGTCAGACGAAAGGCACGAGGCAGTGGTCAGAGGAAGTATTTGTCTTAAAGGGCAGAAGTTTTATAAAATTAAACCCTGATATAAACCTTATGGCATTAATTAAAGGGTTATATGAAAAATGAAATATTAATTTAAAACTGAGAGAGAAATAAAAAGGAGTTTAAAATAACTTTAACATATATAGATAAAATAACATTTAAAAATAGAAAGGCATATTTAAAAATACAAAGTTAAAATCCAAAAACAAGTTACATTTAAAAAATAAGTTACATTTAAAAATAAGTTATAACAAGAACAGTCTAAACCCGTGCACTGAATAAAGGGTTCGGTTTAAAATGCGAACGTATAAAACCTGAAGAAAGCCGGAGCGGACAACGGCCGAAAACGTCGTGAATTTGACATTAAAGATAAGGACTACAGCCATATAAATGTAAATAGTGTCAATAATAAAGTTAAGATTTTAAAATATCATTCGATTTGATGTAAATCAAGTTTCGCTTTTTTCTCCCTCGCTTTTGTAGATTTTGTTCACTTGAAATCAACTGATTTTTCTAACCCCAGTTCATCGGTAAAAGATGTCAAACCAGACATTTTGAAAATTGTTATATATGTTTACCATTCCGACTCATTCTCAAACAAAGTTATTTCCCTCGTAGAATAAAGAATCATAGCTAATACTGGAACCTTCAAGCGTTTCCGATTATGCGGAATAGATGTGAAGCTAGTGTAATTGTTAGAGGCTCGGAATATGAAATCGCCAAGTCGAGTTCGAATTATGGTCGAGTTCATTAAATTTACTTTCGTACAAATACTCTTGAAAAAAAAAAAACAACATATGAATCCATCTCTTCTCCTCACCAGCTAAGTGTTACATAGCAGGAAAAATTTGACCTCTAGCCATGGTTGGTAGCCAGTATAAAAGGCAACTGTTAATTCAGTTCGTATGTATACCAGGTGACGCGCATGATATAATCGAATCTAGACGGCAGAGAAATTAATTTTCTTACTTACAGAAAAGAATAGGGAAATTCATAATACTTAAACAATGTTACTTTTTGGGTTATTCCTTCATATGAACTTTTGTGGGTTATTCATTTTCATTTTTGGTGGTTATTCCTTTTGCACGTTTGAGGGTTATTTCTTAATGCAGGGCGTCCATAAAGTTCGTGTGCACTTTATAAAAATTTATAACTTTATTTGTATTTGCGATAGAAATGATCTGTAAAAAATGTTATGAAGTTTAATGTATCTAGATTTAAGTATAGCTAAAATAACTAAAGTGATTCCATACATTACTGTAAATCAGTTGGCAAATGTTTTCCGTGAACTGCAAAATCGTATTACCCTTTGTATTGCTAATGATGTAGGGCATGTGGAAACGTAAATAAAATTTCAATAAAACATTAAAAAATATAGATTTACTTCTTTCTAATCCTTTTTACAGATTATTTCTATCACAAATACAAATAAAGTTATAAATCTTTTAAAGTGCACACGAACTTTATGGACAGCCTGTATTTCATCTTCAAAAGAACAGTGAATGAAATTGTTTGATAGTTGTATCGCTTTTCAGGAATGGAGAAAAGCTTTACAAAAATCATGTAACATTAAAACAGGAACAATATAAATAAACCAAGCAGAATAGGGTAAAGTTATAATGGTAATGAGTCAAATGTTACTTAGAGCGACAAGATAGGAAGTTGTGGAGAACCATAATCACCCATGAGTTTGTGTGAATGGATAACAGGGTAAGAAGTGCTGGTAATGAGTCATTCATTACTTAGCTACATGGAACAAGAAGTTGAGGAGAGCCATAATCACCCATGAGTTTGTGTGAATGATGGATGGTTACGAATTAAATATTAATTAAAATTACAAGCGGTAGGAAGTAGTGGAGGGCTATGATCGGTCATGAGTTTGTCTGAATGAATTGCCAAATTTTGGGGGCACGGAGTCATGATCACCTAAGAGTTTAAACGAATAGAAGAGCAAGAAAAAGAAGAAGCATTAAAAAGGAAGTTGGAAAGAGCCGTTATCATTCATGTTCATAATGATTATGATTCCAAAAACAGGAACGTGTTGAATTTGTTATAAATCTTGATTATTCAACTTTGACTATTAAACTATTTTAAGTGGTCTATACTTAGCTTCAAGCAATGACCGTTTTCTTGTTTGATGTGTTGATGTGACACTTTCTGTCAGACAATTTACTTTATTAATTCTGGAACTAATAAAAGTTATCAGTCAACAATAAAACAGCCTAGAATTTCTATCTTGTAACTTATAATTTAGGGGCTAATTGCTTATCCTCTTGAACGTTGTTCTATTTTGAAATTGACTATCCAGGCAATTTCCCATCGTTTTTAATGTTCTTATTAACATATATAATTTATATAATAACTTATAATTTAGGGGCAAATTGCTTATCAGCTTTTGAACGCTGTTCTATTTTGAAATTGTCTGTCCAGGCAAATTCTCATCGTTTTTAATGTTCTTGTTAAAATATGAGTAACTTAAATAATTCCCTGAAGATTGAAGTCTGGACATCGGTTTCCCCAGCTTAATTTACAAATGAAAGGTTTACATTGAAACTCACGATTTCAACCTGGAAACGTTATTTGTGTTCGTGACTGCCCGAGGCTTATCTTCACATGGCGAAGACTCGATCTTGACCTCCCTTGTTAAAGAAAATCCATTTTAGATTCTCGTTTTCAATTGAAATATCCTATTCTTTCTTCCTGGTACCTCACGTTTCTGAAGATGTCTTTATACTGATTTGGTTGATAAAGGAGGAAGCAATAGGTTTTCAGTGAAGAAACGTCTGATTTGATCGGACTGAAAAGCTGTAGAAAAGTTTCGTGGGAATAGCTTCAGGGATATGAGAATATGAAACCAGTTGTTTTTTTTATTGAAAAAAAAATGTTTTTATTCTTTAAATTTAATTATTGGAACCTACAATATATTTGTCGCCTGCATCACCAAGCCTGAATAGCATTGAGCCCTAATGGGAATGGGTTGTAAAGGGGAAATTCGATAAATGAATTAATGAAGGAATTAGTCAATAGCGGCGAAGAAAGAAGGAAAATAACTAAAAGAAAAAATATAAATTTGAAAGAGAAGTCAGTAGGAAAGTATTAACAAAGAAAATACTCAGATTGAAAATAAAGGAAAATCTTTAAAAATAGAATGGTATGAAAAATATGAAAACACTGTGCAAAGAAAACATACAATTATCAGAAAGAAAAAAGATAGATAGATAGATAGATAGATAGATAGATAGATAGATAGATATAAATGAATAGATAAGAATGAAGGAGATATAACGGAATAAGATAACAGACAGACAGATAGAGATGGATAATAGATAGATAGATAGATAGATAGATAGATAGATAGATAGATAAGATAGATAGATAGATAGATAGATAGATAGATAGATAGATAGATAGATAGATAGATAGATAGATAGATAATGAAGGAGATGGATAGAAAACAGAATGATAAGATAGATAGATAGATAGATAGATAGATAGATAGATAGATAGAAATGGAATAAGATAAGAATGAAGCAAGATGGATAACGAACGGGTGGTGATAGATAGATAGATAGATAGATAGATAGATAGATAGATAGATAGATAGAAATAGAATAAGATAAGAATGAAGAAGATGGAATGAAGATAGATAGATAGATAGATAGATAGATAGATAGATAGATAGATAGATAGATAGATAGATATAAACATAATAAGATGGAATGAAGCGAGATGGATAGCGAACGCGAACAGGCGGTGATAGATAGATAGATAGATAGATAGATAGATAGATAGATAGATAGATAGATAGATAGATAGATAAAATATAATAAGATGGAATGAAGATAGAGATGGATAGCGAACGCGAACAGGCGGTGATAGATAGATAGATAGATAGATAGATAGATAGATAGATAGATAGATAGATAGATAGATAGAATGAAATGTAAGATGATAGATAGGAATGAAACGAAATGGACAACAAGCAAGTGATGATAGATAGATAGATAGATAGATAGATAGATAGATAGATAGATAGATAGATAGATAGGTTGTAAAGGACAGAAAAGGTGAAAAAAGAGAAAATGGAAGCGAATCTAAATACATTCTATATAAAAAGGAGATGAAAAACATCCAGTAAAGATAGAAGGAAAATAATTATGAATGAAAAGATGAGGAAGCACATAAAACTATTTCCAGGGGAAATATAATGATAGAAACAAGTGTGAGAGACGATTAAAAAAAAATGAAGGGAAAGAAAGAAAAAAAAAACAAATTAGTAAGAGGATGGAAAGGACTAAATAGAAAGATAAAAATATGAACGAAAATGATTGAATTTAAGGAAGAATGACATATTACATTTTGAAAAATCTATAAAGAATAAATGAGAAAAAAGAAACAGAGAAAGAGCGAATGAATGAGAAAAAAAATCGACATAAAAATAAATAAAATTAATAATAGCTTAAAGAAAAGGTTAAGATATTCCGATAAGAAAAGAGGAGAAAGACGAAAATAAAGAGAAAACTGGAAGACGCCCAAGAAGGAAGAATCAAATAATTCAGAGTTAAAAATGAATAAAATAAAAGGTGGGAATATTGATAATGGTCGATTTTTGCCCGCAAGGTTTCGTGTACAGACATATTTTCCTTATTTATTTCTCAAGAATTACTTGAGAAGTAGGGAGTCAAATAAATAATCGACAACCACTAAAGCATCCAGGTAGAGGCGGGGTTGAGAAAAGAGAAGCGGGGAAAAAAAAAAAACTAGTTAAGGGAAGAATGTATCATGGTGGGCGGATGGCTAACATGACATTTTTACCTCTTTATTAAATCATTATTCCTCGTTTTTAGACTTTTCTTTCCAATTTCTCATGTCATTCAATAAGCGAGTATTAAATCATAAAAGTTAGAATCGATACATTGTTAAGTTATTAGTCAGGTGGAGAATGAAAGAATAGATAGACACATAACACATGCATTTATTTCGAGTTAAATTTCATAGTCATTATCAAAAGTTTATCGTCTACACTCGTGTAAACGTCGAACATTTCAATTATATTTCTGGATATAAACTTGAAGAAAATATTAAAGGGACAGACTACTAAAAGTTTAAATTTACGTGAATAAAAATATTGTCCTGAAAATATATTTCCATATTGATTATTAATATTTATAAGTATATTTTCTTATCATTTTAATCGGTATTTTTAGAGGATACTCGTATTTAGGTAGATTGTTTATTTATTAAACAGTACATTTACTTGCTTTCGGCTCTCGCTTTAATAAGTTTTGCCGAACATTCAGGCCGGTAGATGAAAATAAATAAATATACTGTTTAATTAATAAATGGAGCATCTACTAAAATACGATTATCTATTAAAAATAATATTTAAAGTGACAAAAGGCGTCCGGTCAAAAAGCTATCGGCGCACGGATAGTTAATTCCGTTCGTACCCTACGGACATTAAATAAGCCTATGGGTTGACAAGTCTTAAATAAAACCAAATCTAAATTGTTCCCTATGGTAGTCAGGTATCTGTAGACAGGGTATCCGAAGACGTGCTAATAATCGGAGTTCCAATGAGCAATACGTGAATTCCAATTTCATATATACAGATTTTGAGGAGAGTGCAATCTATTTGAATTAAGAGTTTCCTTCTCCGAGACTGGTTGTCTGCTACGTCAGGCTATACAACAAAGTTTGTCCTGTTATTTTACCCATAGGAGGAACAAAAATATAGCTTTCGTAAGTGTATTAGCATATAAGTGACCGTAATGAATTCAACTAGAATTCGAGCTTGGCTAACCGATTACGCAATCCGATCCGCTAAAAAGATTCCAACGCGTATCTACAAAAATAAATCGAAATGAAGGCGGAGCATGAGTAAAAAGTTAAATTGAAACAATAACCTATAATAAAACTGAAGTTTCCCAAAAACAAATCTAAGCAGGCAAGAAAAGATACAAAAAAAAAATGTATATAACAATATGTGTGTTTGTATCTTTGTCTGTGCATATGTGTCTGATTCTATAAACAATCTAAAGGTCGTGACCCTAATAAAATGATAGCTTCATACTAAACACGCCTTAATCCCTGTGAACTCTATATAATGCCCACCGAAACAGTAATGGCGTTTTGTCTGAAGATTGAAGTGAAACGTGTAGCTGACAGGAAACATACAACGTTTTCTTGTGTCCACCCTGTCTGTCTGTCTGTCTGTCTCTCGCTCTCTCTCTCTCTCTCTCTCTATATATATATATATATATATATATATATATATATATATATATATATATATATATATATTTGAAAGAACAGTAAGATATATAATCCGGTGTTCTTATTGATAATTTTATTTTTACAAAAACTGTGCTCGGTGTAAATTTACAGACCATAAATATTATAAATTTACTGATTTTTGAAACATCGTTCTTAATGTGTAGCGAAAAATGACATATTTTAAATCAGTTAATTTATAATATATATATATATATATATATATATATATATATATATATATATATATATATATATATATATATATATATATATATATATTATAAATTAAATGATTTTAAATGTCTGTTAATTTTAATATATATATATATATATATATATATATATATATATATTATAAATTAACTGATTTAAAATAAATATGTCTGTTAATTTTTTAATATATATATATATATATATATATATATTATAAATTAACTGATTTAAAATGTCTTTTTCGCTACACATTTTTGAATCATCGTTGTTAATGTGCAGAGAAAAAAGACATATTTCAAATCAGTTAATTTATAATATTATATATATATATATATATATATATATATATATATATATATATATATATATAATAATAATAATTATAGTAAATATATGTGCATGTGTATGATAAAATATAGTTTTTAAGTTATGCTATATTTATAGAAGAAAAGTGCTCAATATCAAAGACAAGCCTATACAAATATAAGCAGTATAGACATGGGTATAAAACAAAGGTATTCAATTAAGTTGGTAAAATAACTAGACTATATAGAAAGAAAAATGTGTGTGAATATCGAAGAAAATAAATAATCTTCACACACTGCTTTACAAATTTAAATAATTTCATTAATGATTATAAAAATAATCTCTCCATTTTTAAACTGAAAGAAACAAGTCATCAAGTTCTTCGCAAACAAAGTTTAGACGAATTTTTTTCAACACAAAAAAATAAGGTTTGTTATCATAGGGTAGAATGTAGATGTGCAATTATCAGGTGAAATTTCAATATTTACCTTAGGTTATATTGGTATTTGACGTAAAATTAGCAGCTAGACAGTCTAGTATGCTAGGTATCAGATAAAATACAACTGCGATATATATCGCTTGGTTCTTTTCGTAATGAAAACTGGGCAAATATCTTAAAAGCTTGAAATAATTAACAAAAATGAATCTTGTTTCAAAAAGGTTTTTAAGTAAAGTAAAATTAGAACATTCAGTAATGTTTACAATTTCTGGTCGAAGATATACTAAAGATTAATTAATTATTTTACGATAGGCTATTTGTGAAAAAAAAACATGGCAACAGGAAGTTAAAAGTTAGATTGATGAAACTCAGATATTTTATTGGTTAATAAATATATTTCGCAAACTTTAATATCGATTGTTAGGAGAGAAATATTGTTAATCATGTTCTGCATGTGATCCTCCATATTTTAATATATGACAAGAAATAGTTGTCTGATCTTTCAAATCTTGAATTGTCTTTGAGAAAAGCTTATTGCTTAATAAATGCTAGCGCAGGAATTTCAATTTGACATTCGTGTGAAACAATTTTTGCGCAGAATTGAGATCGTAGTGATACTAATAAAATTTATTGAATTTCTTTTTACAATTTTAAATGATTTCTACGCGCACACACACATACACACTTACACACACACACACACACACACACACACACACACACATATATATATATATATATATAGAGAGAGATAGATAGATAGATAGATAGATAGATAGATAGATAGATAGATAGATATAAAGGTATATACAGTTGTATGGATATGAGTTTGTGATCCTGGGTTTCACGCTTTTGCGATCATAAGACATCTGATCAACTATACAGCTGAATATGTTAGCTCTGTCACTGATATTGAGCACTTTCCACGAAGTACTGCACACACACACACACACATATATATATATGTATGTATGTATATATATATATATATATATATATATATATATATATATGTGTGTGTGTGTGTGTGTGTGTGTGTGTGTTTGGAATTGGGTGGTTATGGATAGGAAGAGAAAATTTTAATACTTGCTTATTTTATATTCTTAACGTCTCTTTTATAGAATTATTGTTAATTATCGATGCCATTACAGGTTGAATTATAATTTTATATAAATTTTAATTTATTTTTTCTGGGTATGCGTTCATTTCTATTATTCATTATTTATTTTGTTAACTAATTCGTCATGTTTAAAGTACATTGTCTGTACTAACATCACCTTAGTTTTATTTAATTCGTATATGTTATGTGTCACTTTTAATGAATTTTTTACAAAATGCTAGATCATTTGCATTTTATGTCTTTGGTTTTCGTGTTTGCATTTGAATATATGACTATTCTTCTGCTTAGTAATTTGTGTTGTGTTTCTGTGGAATAATTACATGTACTTTATCCACAAATCAAAGTTTAAAGGTTTTACAGCCTGTGTTCTATGCTGGAGCATTGTACTTTATTTTCTATGCTATATTTGGTGTTATTTATTTTTGTTTTTAAGGTTCCAAATATATTTAGAGAGGTTTGTATTGTTTGCGTAACTTTTCTTATTCTACAAGTCATGTCCCTTCAGGAAGTTGACGTTCATGGCTCTCAACAATTTCCTGTCTTTGTAGATCTTAATATTTTTCTTTTTTTAAATTATCTTAAACCTTATTCCGCCATCCATTTACTAATGCTCACCAGGAAGATTATTCGTTTTCCCTCTGTTCGTCTTGCCATTAATATATCCTGTGATTAGCCAATTTTGCAGGCCATCTTTTCTCCTTATGCACTCTAGAAATTCCAACGTCTCTTTCTGATGTCAAGTTTGACATC